ACACAGTGCTACGGTTTCGTGCTAATAATCCCGGTGTTTGGCTCTTCCATTGCCATTTTCTATTTCACGTAGCGATCGGCATGAATTTGGTCTTTCATATTGGCACACAAGAGGATCTACCGCCGGTGCCGCCGAATTTCCCACGTTGCGGTGATCATTTGCCGCCCATCAAGTACTTTTAAGCGCGCTCACCAGCGGCTGGTTATAAAATTTGAAGTATGAGGAAGTGCGAAAATATGGCGCGTGCGTGAGTGCCGTATTGTGTTGCGTGTTGGAGGCGTGGCAATTGAATACTGTATTTCTCTTTTTTTTTGTTTTCTTCTTATTGTTGTTGTAAATAGCACATTTTCGCCGAAACCGCATCAAATGTCCATCAGTGCATACACTCAACGCAATTTGTTCATTTGTATTTATGTCGTTTTTTTTTTGCAATTTTAGCATATTTTTGTTGTATAACATTTCGTGTATTGTAAATCACTTGTAGACTCTTACTATTGTTTTTGTAAGTTAAAATATTTGTATGTATGTAGCTTTATTGCTCACTATGTTTGTATGTATACATATGTCTAATGTACGATATTTAAAATATGTGTTTTGTATTTGCCCAAAGTCGCAGCAATAGACTTTTTTCATAGTGATAATTGTAATTAATTACTAAATTATTTTAATTTTGTTTATTTAAATATATGTATAAATATATCTATATACAAATTTTCGCATACTAACTTCAAAAAAAAAAAAAATTAATACACAAAACCATTAAATACGGTAAGTGAAAGCTTTTACCATATTTTTTATTTATTTTTTTTTAAACTACTTTTATTTAATTCCATTTTAGCATGCATTTAAAGCACGTATTTTGTTGAAAAAAAAAATGTTAAAATATTATAATTTTGTAAACTTAAACCATAATATCAAAAACAATATTTGTTACATACACAGCGCTAGTTATATATGTATACAAAATTAATTTCATTTTACTGAAAATAAAAAAAAAAACGAAAATAAGTTTTGAAAAATTTCCTAACGTAATACCCCACTCAACACCGCTAAAAATTTTCTGCCATCACAACTAATCTATGCACATTTTACAGTCGCTTCGGATGCCGATCATTTGGTCTCGCTAATCGATGAAATCTCCTATGTGTCCGCACCATCCACCATACTCTCGCAGTACGATGAAATACCAGCTGAACACTTTTGCAATAGCGACAATCGGCCAACTAATTGTGGCGAGAACTGCCAGTGCGTGCATAAAGTCGATATACCTTTGGGTGCGATCGTCGAGGTAGTGCTTGTGGATGAGGTGCAACAGATCAATATCAGTCATCCCTTTCATTTACATGGCACATCGTTTGTTGTGCTCGGTATGGGTCGGTCGCCGGACATGCAATTGCAACGTATGAATCTACAACATGCCTTGGAGTTGGATAGGCGTGGCCTGTTGGAACGTCGCTTTCTCAAGCCGGCGCTAAAGGACACTGTGGCGGTACCGAATAATGGCTATACGGTGTTGCGGTTTCGTGCCGATAATCCCGGTGTTTGGCTGTTCCATTGTCATTTCCAATTTCACATTGTTATCGGCATGAATATGCTGTTTCAGGTGGGCACACCAGAGGATTGGCCGCCAGTGCCGGCGGGCTTCCCGCGTTGCGGCCATTATAAGCCACCCATAACTCAGTGGTGATGAGCAGGCACTTGATGTGAGAATTCGTTGGGAATTTTCGAGTAATTTATCGGGCATATTGTTGAAATTTTATGGCGCTTGTTGTATTTTGTTTGTAATTTTTCTGTTCGATTTCCAAATATTTTTTATGAAGAAATAAAAAATGTATTTTGTTGGAAATTTCCTTATGTACTATTAATATATCTTAAATATAATTTGTGGTACAAAGATTATAGCAAATGGAAATGTTTATTACTTCTTAAGGAATTAATACTTATCCATAGTCATGTTGCTATTATTGTTGTATGAGATTTCAAATAAATTTAATGTAAAATAAAATTTTCCTTTAATTTTATTTTTAGTTTTAGTTGAGTTGAATATCGACATGAGTTTCAGACGAAAAATATTACTCAATAGATTTCAGATAATCCCAATAAAATCTGATTACCGACAAATCAACTTTCACAGTTTTCTAAAAAAAACCCTAAATTTCAGCCAAAATAACAGAAATTAAGTAAATAAATTTTCAACGTGATATTTGAACCAAAAATAGAGAGACAGTTTTGAGGTTAAGTAATTTAAATGGCCCCATTTTCTAAAACACTCATAACGAAATTTGGAAAACTGGCCCTCAGTAGACTTTTGAGTTCAAAAACTGTTATCTAGCGGCACCAGAAGCTCTCCTTAAAACAATCTTTACCATTTTAAGATTTTTTCGAAAAAAAACCTAGAAAAGATGCATTTAAAAAAAATTCCAAAATTCCTTCTTATAATAAAATTTTGTACGTGAGTGCTTAGCATTACAAAAACAAAGTCTAACGGAGTCAAATTGCAAGGTATAGTTGGCCGGTGGATATCGTCAAGAGGAAATTTCTGGCACCATCTTGTTGAAACCACATATTATCGAAGTCGGGTGCTTCTATTGCAGCCAAAAAAAAAAAATCGGTTAACATACGACCGCTCCAAACTTATAGTGACAGACTCGCCGTTTTCGGTTTCAAGGAAGTAAGATCCGATCACAGTCTTTCTTTTATTTTTGTATAATGAGGAATATATGTGGCTCAATAAAGAACTCGGACATACGTTCCACTGTTATTAAGATGCGACTTCAAGCTAGATCTTTGTTTAACCAACTGATATTAACCATTTTTGTTTTTTATGTTTCTATAGGGTATCCAATAAGGATTTAAAAAATACCAATAACAAACAAATTAAATAGTTTATAGGTCTCCTATACCCTAACTACGAAAAATTAACATGTGGCATGCTAGAAATTTCGCCAAAAAAGAAGTAGGACATCTGGTAATATCACTGTTGCTTGGCATTTTAAAAAGGGGAATCCCACAATTGTTTTCGTTTAAAAATACATATGTATGTATATAATCAAAAGTAATAGCTTAAAATAAAATTTCAGTATTTATGTATGGGTAGACAACGTGGACAAAGCTCAATTGAAGTAAGGAAGTTAATTATTAGTCATTTTGAAATGGGAAAAACCATTCGGGAAATCGCAGAAATTGTGAGCAGACCCCGCTCGACTGTGCATGACGTGATTAAACGATTCAAACAAACAAAATCCTGGGAAAACAAAAAGAAGTCTGGACGGCCGAAGTTGTTTTCGGCTGCAGATGAGCGGTGATCCAAATATGAGCGCTTCCAAGCTCTCAACAGAAGTTTTGCGAAAAAAATAATTGTAATGGAAGGGTAGCACGGAAGAAACCATTTATAAACGAGGGTAACCGAAACAAAAGGATAAAATTTGCAAAATGTCATGGGGATAGGGATTTTCAATTCTATAAACAAGTTTTATTTGCAGATGAAAGCAAATTAAATATATTTAGGTCAGATGGACTGTCTTATGTTTAGAGAAAACCGAATGAAGAGTTGCTAGAAAAGAATTTACGTCCGACTGTTAAACACAGGGGCTGCTCACTAATGGTATGGGGTTGTATGTCCCCAGCTGGTGCTGGAAATTTGTGTTTCATAAATTGTAATATGGACCACAATCAATATCTGACCATTTTAAAAGAAAATTTAGTGCAAAGTGCGGAAAAGTTGGGGAATCAAAGGCAATTTCCAGTACTACCACACAAGACAACGATCCCAAGCATAAAGCACTTGATGTCCGTCTATGGCTGATGTATAACTGTCCTAAAGTGCTTGAAACACCTCCTCAATCTCCCGACATTTACGTAATTGAAGATCTGTGGGATCGTTTGGAAAATAAACTGAAAATGCATGTTATTAGAAATAAGAAAGACCTAGAAGCCGCTATTGTGGAAGAGTGAGGGAAAGTAAATTCTTTAATATGCAAGAAGCTAGTTGAATCTCTGAGTGCTATCAGAAAAACTAAAGGTTTGTCGGCCAATTATTAAGAATATTTTGTTTCTCTTTAAATAAAATTTTTAAATTCTATGTTATGTATATGTTCGAGTTCTTTTTTGTCATCAGTTTTGTTAGTTCATATTATTTTTATAAGACCGAGTTGAATTTAGTTTTTGGTTTCGGTTGTTTTGAAAAATACACTTGAAGAATAGAAATATGTATGTATATGTTAAATAGAAAACCCTGTTGTTGTTGTCTTGCGGTTCTCTAAGCCCTCGATTTGCATTGTGTGTCCGAGTTCATTTTTGAGCCACTGTATGTATAATGTCGGACGATTATGTGCACCATAATCTTTTCTTAAAGCAGATGTGGTGATCTCCGAAACAGCTGTCACTTCTACCATTTTTCTTTGTTGTATAACAAAAAATATTTAATTCATACAAACAAGCCAGACCTTTTGCTCACCAAAAACTTATAACGAAAATTAATATCATGCCAAAAAAAAAACAATTATGCAAAACACATAACATTTTTGTTTTGACAGATAAGTTTCTCTGAGAGCAGCCTTTGAATCCACGCAAAAACTCCTTGAATTGAGGAATAGACATAGGAAATGTTGAATATAAAGGCCCTGGCCAAATTCGAGGTGGCTTTACTAGTCTGCTAAGAGGAATGTCAAACGGAATGGAGCCGAAGGGTCTCATGGTGTTATTTTGTATAGCCTGCTATTCCGTTAGATGTCACGTGGTTGAAACCCCTAGTTTGTTCTTTCTTTGGCGTTCTTTATAATTGAGCATTCTGTATTTTAGGCACTCACTATGCAAGGAGTATCGTCTTGAAATTTATTCAAATACTTTCCTCCAGCATAACCAACATTCATATGTACATACATACATCGTATATATCAAGAAAATCGAACTAGTAACGCAAACGAAATGGCATACACTAAAATTAAATACTCATACGAAATGTCACCAACTTACAAATCTTATAAAAATAAAACACTTTATTTTACACAAGTCTCGATCTCAACGACTCTTATTTATTATTTTAAATCAAAAAGTTAAAAAATAACTGCAAAGAAACATCTTACAAGAAGTAGGTTCTTGGCTTTCTGTATGAGAACAATTTCCTGTTGCCCTTGTGGTGTACTCTTTGTACCAATGGGAACTTGATCTTGGAATCGTGGAATTGCTTGACATGTACACGACGGGTCTTGCTGGCAGGGATCGCTTCGACCTTAATGATTTGAATTGAATGAGCACGAGCACGATGACGGGCACCCATATCACGGTAGCACTGTGTAACAGCTCCGCCAACAGCCAGGTCACGGTATTCACGGTACATGTTGTGTGTACCAGATCGCGAGTCATAACGCAACCAAATGCCAAAGTTCTTAATTTTGGTTGGGGAAGTTTCGTAGACCTGTTTCAGGGAGACAATTTCACCAGTGGTCTTTTTGAACTTCTTCAGTTGACGCAAGAAATACCAGAAACGCGACTTGGCCACGATATTATCCGGGGCAAAGATGCGCATTTTGTAGAGAGGAGTTTGTGGCTCCTTCTCGGTTGGCAACTTGCGGCCAATCACTTCGTATTCTTTCAACTGCAAAGAGAATAAAACAAGAAATATTTTATTATTTAGGGTAATAAACAAATAATACTACAACATTAGAGGTTAAAACGCATAACCGAAAGCCGACTTGTGAACACAAAATTAAAACAATTTTATAATAGAACATTTACAGAATAAAGTGCACAAGAAATTCAAAGTTATTTATTTCCGCATATTAACTACTTTAAAGCATAAAACGCACAAGTTTTCCCAAACATCGTGTTAAATAAGAACTGACAGCTTCTTGTAGCAATATCGAGCACGTTGGTAGTAATTTTCAATAACACCATTTTTACATAATTTTTCCTTATAAATTGTCGACACTTAAGCAAAACTTGTTACTCTTTACATTAACAAGCCATCTTTTTACTAAAATTTATTATTAATAGCCGAAAATTAAACAAAATTCGGGAAAAATTACCTGTCCCTTGGCTTTCATTTTAGCAGCGTTCAGAGAAAAGGAAGAGAAAAACGCAGCCAAGTTCGCACCTTAACTTGCAGGGTTGCAAGCGTGGCACCAACACACATATGGTTGCATGTACACACAATTATTAATTTTGATTTTAAAAAGCTACTAAATAATGTCAAGTATTGTTTAAAAAAAATGTAAACCGTCAATTTATTAAAACTGGTTTATTCTATGTTCTCTAATATCTTTAATAAAGATCTCATAAGTAAACGCATGAATAAATGAAATGAACAGTAGCGTATACAACTTTTGAGAGCCACTGGGTCACCTGTTATGTAGGTGGCGCTCTCTTCAGCTATTTGTTTACAATTTTGAAACAGATGTTCAAATGTAAATTAAGATTGGATTATCAAAAATTTATCAAGATTTTGAAAACCTTAAAAAGAGTAAAAAAAAAATGGGAAAACGTGACGGTAATTTTACATTATTACTTATACATTGCCTAATACCTTAAATATTCTCAATGCCTTACAGATCAGAAGGAACATAGACGTAGCAAGAAGTCCAAACCTGCTCAATCTCCTCAAACTTCGAATACGACAACAGCCGCACCTTCACCTTCAACAACACCCATAACTATGAAGGAAGAAGTAATTTATGATGCTGAAATGATCGATGTAGTCGACGTTGTTGATCACGAGCAGGAAGTATGTAGCACGCCAACGCCCACCACCCCACCTCAGTCAGCCACGATTGTTACTCCGCCAAAAGGCAGTAATAACAAAAGTTCATTAAGCAGCGGAAAGAAATCATCTTCCAAGCAACAAAATACGACTGCACCAAGCACAAACAGCTCACCCGCAATATCAACTGCAGCTAGCACCAGCGCAAGTGCTGCTAATAGCAAAAAATCAAAGAAACGAAGAGATAGCAGCACTTCCAGCGAGGAGGAGCGTTGGCTGACAGCAATCGAGTCGGGGAAACTAGAAGAAATGGATGATGAATTGAAAAAAATGAAAGATCCGAAACTAATGACGGCGCGTCAGCGTGCCATGTACGAGCGTAATACCGACAAAGAACCCTCTCCAGGTGGTGAACTACTCATGTCGTTACCGAATGGTTATCGTGAAAAGGAAAAGCCACAAACAGCAGAAGATATACAAAAAGCGCAGCTGAAGTCACAGAAACGTAAACAGCTTGCTGATGAGAAACGAGAAAAGGACAAAAAGAAAACAATGGACCGTTTGCTAAAAAAACAGGAAAGTAAACAACGCAATGCAACGCGTAATAAATCAGCCAAAACAACACTGCCAATGATTACATACCGTAATACATTGGATGGTGCCTACGTACATTTACCACCTGACCATGAGTTCCCACTGGCAGCACAAATGCCACGATTGCCTCCCAAAGTACAGTTGTGCGGCATTGCCGGTTGTGGAAAACCCAAGGTATATAATTGTTCCAAAACAAATATGCCACTTTGTAGTTTTGGTTGTTATCGCAAAAATGTACAAAATATACGGCAAATAATGTGTTAAAATATTTAATATTTCTATATATATATATATAATTCTGCTCTATAAGGCATTAAGTTTTAGTAAATACAAGTAAAATTTAAAAAAACTTATTGGTTTAATAAATAATTATTTATAATCTCCTGCTGCTCGGACTCGACCCGCTGCAAGTACTGATATTCATTACGTAATCTTTCTAATTCAATGTTTTTCTCGTGTATTTTGCTCTAAAGTGAAAATGTTGTTTAGTTTATAATGTAGATGTAAAGATCTCACTGCCCTCACCTGATAAACTTGCTGTTCGGCTTGACGTTCTTTGGCTATTGTTTTCAGCAAATTTTGTGTGCCAATTGCTCTCAATTTTTCCTTTTCGACATCTTTCGCAAAATCACTTATGAGTTTGTGAAAATCTTCTGCATATTTTTTAAAGTCTTGCAATTTGTTAGCATATTCAAGACATTCGTCACGCAATTCATTCGTTTCGTTGGCAATAGCTGGATCCTGCACACGCAGCCGATAGATATCGTCAATATAAAGTCCGGCCTTTTGTAGTTCTTCAGTCATTATAAAATATACGATCGATCGGCGATTCCCTTGTTTCAGATAATCTATTTTTTTAATAATAATCGGCTTTAATTTTTGTATCAGTACTGCCTTCCAATATTAAAACATATGATTTTTAGTTTATCCTTCTATGTATTGCCTGAATTTACATATCAATACAACAAATTGCCATGACAACGTTTTCCAGTTACCAATAAAAACATTCCAATATTTGACATCTAGAGGAATAATGTGCACTCTTTATTAAATTTATTTACATATTTGTTCCTTATAACTTCTAACGACGAGTTTCTTAATTGGCTCATAAAGATTTTCTGCTCTTAAATTTTTATACTGAAAAACATCAAAAAGTTTACGTTAAATATTTCAATTTATCGAATTTTTACTTGTATGTTAATTGTAATACTTCCATTTTAGCTAACTTTCGCATTTTAGATTTGAATATTTTTTTAATTTTCTATTAAAAAAAAACGTTTATTTTTCTTTTTTTCTGTCTGTTAATAGATTTTATGGTTTCCTCGTTTCAGTATAAAAAATATACATTTATTACGTTTCCGTGAAATTTATCAGTTTCACGGGAACACTAAACGCAATTGATTAAATAAAATAAAAAATAAAAACTCGAGTTTTAAATTACAAACCGATAATGAGAATGTTTGTATATGTATTTAATACTATATGAGTTAGACGACTATTAATCAGAACATCATTAATGCATTGAAATATTTTATGTTTTTACGTGGTAGGTATAAAAAAGTTTTAACAAACTGTGAGATATAAAAAACAATATGTTGGAGTATAAAAATACATTTGAGTCAAAATGATAAAATGTTTTTATTACAAATTTGAATGTGTGCAATGCAAAAGACCTTTGCATATTTCCTCACGTGTGGTCAATATAATTCTGTTCACACACACATATTGGAAATTTTAGTTTCTTTGATTAATTTTGCCTTTATCTATTTCAAAAGCATGAGGATGAGTTTGTTTATCCTCATATTAGTATCATTCTTTGGCTATCTATGCACTCCCTCCGCTAACATCCCTCCAAAGTTAGGGAAGCGCGGTACGTTGTCATCCCACGTATTGTTTCATAAATCAAGTGGGATTATTGCGTTTGTTCGAACGCAGTCGTGCCAAACTGGTACGCTCCTCTTCCTCATCACTGGTGTACTGCTGCATACCGGGAGCAGCTACAGCTCCTCGAACTGATGATGTTGCCTGTAATAGCTCTTGATCGGGTGCATTACGGTTCTCATACAATAGTACTTGTAGCGTCTCTTCATAGATGCGTGCTTCTGGAAATTCCACTTTAGTGTGTTTCCGATCTGTAGCATATACAATCGAAGTGCAGCATACTTCAGCCACTTTTTTGCCATGACCATAAAATGACCAACAGCATATTTCGCTGGGTCCAATCACATCTTTAATAAATAAAATGCGTTCGTTGAATCGTAAGGATAATTTGTCGAAGAGCTCGATATTTTTTAGTAAATTATCATCGGAAGTGGACGTATAAGAATATTTATTATTTTGTCGTTGCACCACCAAAATGACGGCAGGTTTCGAGGAAGAACTAATTAGAAGTTGCTCTTCCTTTTGTGATGTGATTAATGGTATGCGACAGATGGGTTTGGGTTCTTGATGAGCGAGCAATGCACGCTCACATGACATGGCTAATTCAGTAATGCAATAATATTTGGCTTCCGCAAGCAACTCAGCGATTTCTTTATGAGATTCGGGCAGTGGAACAGTGCCATCACGTAAGTAGTTAAGAATGGTGCCAAAATGATTACCACAACGGTCGATCAAAATCCAACCTAATTGGAAAACAAATATAATAATATATTTAAGTGTTTATTTTGTATTTTTAAAAGTATTATTTATTATTTTAATAGTATGACTAATATAGTTGAAAATACCAATAACTTAAATTTTAAATATTTTTTTAATTAACGCTATCTCGAAAAAATTTCAATGGTAATTCAATTGCTTTCATTTGCGAAATTACCTTCTGAATCAGTTAATACTTCCATGCGGCCACTGAACATAGCACTCAACATGGTATCATGCTTTGTTAATGTACCAATTGTTGTGTAATACAAACGTCCTCCAACATTTAACTTGACATACTGCGACGAGTGGCCCTTTAAAAAGGTTTTTTGATCGCCTGACATTTTACTTGTAGCCACTAGTCCGGGTCCAGGTATTAACTGCACTTTTCCAACTGCACCACTGCCACTAGGCACAAGACTAACGCCACTGGAGCTTTTGCAAACGCTATCTTTGGCGCTGCAGGTGCTCGACGTTATTACGGCCACGGTATCAATTTTGGCGATTCTTTTGTCCAATTGAGGAGGCGTTTTCGATTTTTCAGATATGATTAACTGCCCACAATACGTTGTAGAGTTAGAGGGCGCAATATTACAGATGCTCAATTATTATGCACTTATATCTTTCCTATTTAGCTAGCTAGTAGTTTGATCCTAATTAATTGGAAAATAGCTCTAGTCCTACTGAAAATGAAATCTACTTATCAGGGAGGAGCACAAAACAGCACAAATGCTCCAAATTGAAAAATTTTTATAATGAGAGTTGCCACAATGTCAAATTAAATGTTGCGATAAAAACTGAGGAATTATGGATAGAAAAAGTCATATTCGAAAAAGCCCTAAGCAAAACTGTTGGGCATTAACTATGAGCTAAGATTAGTGAATGTTGACTTTTCCAATTACAAATAACCGCTGCCTCTGCTTTTCCTAACCGCAGGTGCTATGGTTCAAACATTTTTAGGATGATTTAAAACTTTGATCGCTTGCGTTGTATTTGATCAGCTCCGAAGAGATCGTCGCATAAGACCAAACGTCGAGATCCGTTTTTGATAGATTCCAAGAAAAATAATCATGACGTGACATGGCAATTGGTAAAGACAAGATTTAACTTAGCGCTATGAATGTTGACCTTAACTGGATTGCGTCAAAACGATAGGCACCTCCGACCAGAACGATACCAACAGACCGTTCAAAGAAATTAAAAACTTTAAAGCAACTGTTTATTGTTAGACAACTTACGAAGGAAATGATTTCAAATTTTTACACAAATCTCACTCCTGAAATTTATATTTCAAATATGCACGAAGTCCCACACCAACCGCTTCTGTTTTTATCTACTATTCATAAATCCAACTAAATAAGAAAATAAATTTACTTTAACTGTTGGGACCTTATTTTATTTAAACACTAGATATTTTATTTCATTTTATTTACCATTTCATTGTGTGTATATATATATATGTAAGTATGTATGTATATTGGTTTTGTAAATTAATTAAAATTATGCCTTCTTGTATATTTTTGTATGTACGTGGTATCTGTAGTTTATTTTACAAATTATACACGTATGTTAGATGAAATAACTTACTGTTGCACCGCCATCCATCTTGTCAGTTCTTATATCGCACTTTTATTCTTGTGCACGCATTGTTTACGGATATGCAACAATAAAAATGATACTCAAGAATGGCTGGTTTGTTAATAAAAACTTCGTCAATGTAATTGGAGTGCAATGGCGTTACATTGCAGGTCTCAATGCCGAAATAATCTACACTGTTTCCAAAATTAAATCCTTAGCTCTATGAGCCGGTAGAAATTTCACTAATAAAGAGCTTAATTTATTACTTATTCATGTATTTTGAACTAAAATATACTGCAATATTTTGCAATGACAGAAAAAATAGATATATTCCAGTTCTCGCTGCTATTGGGTTGGTCAATTTTTCGTACAAAAGGTATTACAAGCATTCACACTCTAAGCTTGGTTGGTATTTATGACTCTTCAATTGAATCAAATTTTAAAATCTTAATATTAGGCATTGTGAAAATAAGAGCTCTCTTGTAGATGAGATTTTATGTTTTCCTTTTCATTAAAATTAAAACATATATAATTCCTTTGTTTCTATTAAATGGAGTTAACCAAACTGGAATTCACACTCTACCACTGTTGCTGTTAACAAATTTTATATGTATGTGCTTAAAACCAAATTTGCCAATTTACGTCGAAGAAACAGCACTATTATCAGCATCCGTTGAATCATTGGTGCTTGCTGTGGTATTGCTATCGCAATCTTTTTGATCTGTAATACTTGCAACTGCTGCCGCTGCCTCTGATGTGCTGCTACTGGCCGCTGCATCGCTATTACTTGATGTAGATGTCTCAATTGCGGTTTTGTTAATAGCGTGGATCTTTGAGGAAGTATCCTCTTCAGTCTTCAAACGTTTATTTTTGTTGGCGTTTTCGGCTTCGTTGGAGTTCTCCTCGAATGTGGGTGATGCGGTGCGTTTAAGACATTGCTGTTGTTGTTGTTCCTTTTGATGCACACTAACATTAGGGGATGAGTTTTTAGCAGCAACATCTTTAATAAGCACTACTTCTTCGGGATTAAGTTTTGTTGGCATAGTCAAGATTTTGCTTTTAAAGGTTACAATAACTGCTGTCATATTGTCACAACCTGTGCCATCGCCCATGGTATTAGGAGCTAAGCATGTGTCAAAAAGCTGTGGGAACAATTTTATTAATATTAACTTTTAAGTGCAAAGCAATTAAACATTATTTATACCTCTTCACATATTTGAGAAATCTTTTTCGATTTATCTTGCAAACGTTGACGCACAAAATCTACCACTTCCTCGCTGGATAAATAGTTCCAAATGCCATCACAAGCTAAAACCATAAACTCGTCCTCTGGTGTTATAATAAGCTTTCGCACATCTGGTAAAGCAGATATCATCTGATCTTCAGCGGGCAACTCCAGGTTCTATACAATAAATTATCATTGTATGAAACTTTTTAATAGATGATTTCATTTATATGAACATACCATTTTATAAGCGTGATCACCAATTGCACGTGAAAGATTTAGCCCACCATTTACACGACCGTCTAAAGTAACACGACCACCGGCTTTTATGATGCGTGACGATTCCTCTTCATCTTCCGGCTTATGATCCAAGCTCATGTCAATGGCTTTGCCATTGCGGCAAACTACGCAACGTGAATCACCTGCGTTGGCCACATAAAGATCGCGACCGTTAAGTAGTGCCACTACAGCAGTGCAGCCACTGTCCTTGCCAGGCTCCTCAATCATCTCAGCACAGAACTGCTCGTTGGCAAGTGCGCTTTCCTCATCCTCCTCTGCAAGGCAATGAAATTAAATAAGATGTTCATTTTAATATTCTCTTAATTAGCATACCCTCGTCTTCTTCAACTTCTTCATCTGAAGAATATACACTTGAATTTTCGGCTATATTAAAGAAAAACATCCAATTAAAAATAAATAAATAAAAATTAAATTTTACTTGAGTTTACCTTCTTCAATTTCCTCGTCTTCGGACGAGTATACCAGGCTATGTCTAGCGTCACGTTCTTCTGTATTCTCTGTAGAAATGCATACATTTTTACAACTTTTAAAATTGAGCCGAAAAAATAAAGGAAACTACCTTCATAATCAGCATCATCATCGGTTGATTCATCTTCACCGCTCACATCTGGTTTCTTTAGTTTCTTAGACTCCTTGCTGGTAGATGTAATTGTAGCGCTGCCAGCAGTTAGCTTGTTTGCTGCAGAAGAGGATGTACTTCCAATTGTGCCATTTTGTATTCTCTTTGCGGAATCATTGGAACCTGAAACAGTTGTATCCATATCTGCTCCTGTAGGGTTTTGCTTTTTTAGTGGTTTTTTCTCCGATGATGAAACATTACCATTCTGTTCAACCTCTTTGGTATGAGAGGAATCAGGACAAGTATCATTATTGGTTTGCGATGATGATGCTGTGGCATTGGCTGGTGTGATTTCAGGCCCATTGGATGAATTTTTTTCCACGTTACCTTCCGATTTATTATTTTCTACATCGGTGGGTACATTATTGGTAGGTTTGCTTGCACTCGAGCTACTGCTGCTAACTGTAGAGTCCTCTTCCGGTTCATCAGTGTCCATTTTTGTTATATTGCCACTGTTTGAAGAACTTGGACCGGACTCGGAAGTAACACCGTCTGTCTTTGATGATGAGGCACCTTCAGAGGACTTGTGCGACGAGCTGGGTCCTGCTTCATCCGACTTAGAAGCAGCCGCTGCCGCAGCAGAAGTAGAAGAGCCTTGTGGTTTGGATTCCGGATCTAGTACAGCTTTATTTGTGGCATCGGCTATAACAGCAGCTGCACGTCTACCACGTAAATATGGTGATTGTGGTTTTGCTCCACCCGAACCATCTTTAATTCGTTTTAACGATGGCATGCATGGACCACCTTTGTATTTTTCCAATACTTCGTCTAACGGCAAATGGCTTTCTTCGTGTAGTTCAGCCAAGTCTTCGAAATCTTCATCATCATCATGTGCATCACTATCATCTCCATCAAACCCCTTTTCACCGGCAAGTACTTTCAATATATCAACCACTTGCGGTTCCAATAGTGTTTTGTCAAACCCCAAGAACGCTTCCTTTAATGCCTTTTCAAATGCTTCATCTTTGTACGCGGCTAACTCTTTCAAAAATTGCGGCAACTTATCTGCACAATAGGTGGCCACTTCGGCTCCCCCATGGCCATCGTAAACAGCAAAAAAAGAGGTATTTACATCGAAATTCAAAATGGAATTGTGAGCATCCTATGATAAATGATAATATCAATATACATCCGTCCTAAAAATAACGTAACTTTCACCTACCTCTTGATTATTACGCCAACCTTGCATAGAGCTGGCTCCCACATTCAATATATCATTGGACTCGTCCGTAGATACCTTGTCTGTTTTCGGTTCGGATAGATATGCGCCCATATTGAACAAAAGTATGCGTCAAAACAGTTTAGCGGGAAATTTTGATGAACACACAAAAACTGAATTGGTTTTAAACTTATTTAAAATGCTGTTAGTGGAAAATCAATGCCCTTTTATAAGCAAACGATGTTTATACAAATAACGCCGGTATGTTGAGATATAAGCGGCAACTCAGCTTACTTAGCTATATAGCACGTGGAGGCAGAAAACGTGAGGAAGTTAATTTTTATAGTTATCGATTAACAAACTAAATGTCCGGGCGCCTTCTTTTATGAATACTTACCACTTCTACCCCTTCCACAAATAATTGATTTTATTTCTCGCCTTGCTTCACCCCAACTCTCGGTATTCTGTTTTCCTCGTCTTTGGCTTTGGATAGATTTCCTCGCAGTGTGTATCCAACGCCTTCTTTTGGCAACAACGCTTGAAATGCTGTCCCCTTGTGATGCTTCTTGCAGCTGCTCTTCTTCTTTTTATTGCTTCGGCGTTTTTTTTTTCTTCTTTTTTTCGCACGAATAAATTGCAAAACCACTTTAAAATTCAAACATCGAATCTATGTTTCGATATCTTCGACAATTTTTCTAACTTGCGGCACGTAATTCTTTGATTTGTTTATTACTTGTATAATTTTTTTACAAATTTAAAAGTTTTTTCCAGGCGTTGACCTGCAGACGCAGACGTACTAGTGGCAGGCAGCGGTGGCGGCGAAAATGAAATTGGCAAAAGAAAAGAAAATGATGGAGAACCGCAACGCAAAGAATAATAAAATAAAGCGTGGATAAAAATATCGGTGCCAGATACACAAATATGGACATATTTTTGTTGATTTTTGGGGAAAAGTATTATTTATATAAATTAAATAAGCAACATATAATTTTTTTATTGTTATTTAAAGTCATCTTAATTTAAAAACTTATGTTGGAAAGATGCCAAAATTGAAAATTAATTGATTAAATCAAACCCAGTTAATCTGGCAGCGCTAAGAATGAAAGATCTGCGCCATTGACAATTAAATTCAACGCCGTCGAAATAAAGGCTGATTCACATAAGATTATTATCTGTAACAGATATTTAAACTTCTCAGTACAGTATAGTAAAATAACACAATTTGCTATATATTGGTAAATTTAATTTTTATTATTTTTCGGTTGCGGTAGCCGAGTGGTTAGCATTTCGTGCTGCCATTCGGAATGCCATAGTCTTGGTACGACTAACATTCTTATAGAAAATAATTTAAATAAATAATTAAGTTAATTTGTTCGCTTCGTAGTCAGAGCTATATATGTATATCTATCAACCAATGCGAAGCGGATTAGATGTAATAAGGTCATTGGAGAACTTGTTAACTAGTAGAAAAAATTAATCATCCTTCCTTCACTCTTTCCAAGTATATTTCGTTTTCTTCGTTCATCTTTTCATAAAAACTTAATAGAGCAAAATTTTAATGTCTTCTTTACTCTATTTAAAACAGTTAAGCCTGGCTCACATACATTTACTAATAATTAAACTCTGATAACAGAGCAAAGCAGGCCGATGGTATGCCTTAATGAAATCCTAACCTTTTCTATATATAATATTAAAAACTTTGTAAAACATAGCAAAACATAATGTCATCCACATCTAATAAAATGTAGTCTTAATTTAACTATTTTGTCACGTTCAAAAATTTCTCTTTGCATTACAGAATAGACGAAGCGCAAAAAATTTGATTAAATCAAAATGTTAAACTTCACCTGCTAACATATAAAAATATATATTATATAATATTTCGAACATATCTGTCAAATCACAACTTTGACATAGACAGGCCTATTCTCAATGTTACCGGTAAAGTAAATTTTGTTACTTTTCTTTAACACTCGAAATTGAATTTGGTATTCTGGCGAACTGGTTACAATGTTTGAAAAAAATTTGGCAGCACTGCTTTTTTCGTCCATTGCATTTGCCAGTTGATAAAGTACAATAAAAAGAAAAATATTCACTTCGAAATGGAAGACGGTGCACAAAAAAATTAAAAAGTTTTATTAATTTGTTTATTAAATCATAAATATTTGAACCTAATTATGGAAATCATAAATATTTGAACCTAATTATGGAAAATATGCCTGGACAAAAAAAAAAGCTGAATGAAAACGTTATCTTACAAATTAAAGGGCTATTTTTTAGTCTCAAAAACTTCTCAAAATACGGGTTTTTACACTTTTTTCTTCATCTTCAATGAATTCCAGGTCTAAAATATGCCTACCCATTTTGGTTTTTTATTTTTTCTCAAACTTACAACACAAAATCAAACAGCAGATATTTTTGTTACCTCCTATTTTGCTGGTAACAAAATTTACAGGGTAACAATGAGATCAGAATACGAAATGTTAACAAAATTTACTGAATGGTCAATTTTAATACCTAGGTAAATTTTGTTACCTTGACAGAATAGGCCTGAGAGTCTTCTTCTCTTTGAAGCCAATGGCAGATAAAACTTTGTTTGCTATGTCCAACTTTATCAGGAAGGCGAGGCAATGAAAATTTTTCTGTTCTCTTTCTTTCATTTATTCTTCTGTAAACACTTAGTTAACTCCGCTGTAGTTGTTAATACCAAATTCCAAATTTAGCTGAACAAGCAAGCAGTTCCAGTTTCCTTGTTATTTAACTACAGATTGCTCCCATGTATCCACTAAAATATTCTGTTTGAATATTCTTGATAGCGAACAACTCAAGTCTTTCTAGAACATGCTTTAGTCATCGGCCTCATATTAGTATTTTGGATTTTCGATAGAATATTTCATTCATCTTAGACCTTAAAGTCAATCTGCCACACGACGCGAAGCAGAAGTGCTATCTCCCAGTTGTATTTGAGCATAATATAATTGCCCTCAAGTGGTAACGCTGGAAATGCTTCTCAACTTGGTAGCTATACAAATTTATTATTTTTTGGTATTTTATGTTAACAGAAATTTGAAACTTGTGTTTTAATTATGAAAGTTTTGATAAGAAATATTACAAATAGAAATTCTTTGTAATAAATGTGAAAATATGTAAATAAATCATATACATATACATATATAAATCAACTGCTGCTTGAAATGTATTTAATTAACCAATTTCAACGCTTAATAACCGCTGAAACGTTTTCTACTTAACTGCCTTTCCAATTTGTTGTGCGTGAGTCTGCGTGTTTTTCAAACCAGTTGTTTAGGTAGACTCTAAACGCTAATGGATTTTTATAAGAAGCCTTTATTTTGATGTCAGTAGTGCTCCATCCCTTTGCTTGCCTAGGAGCGGTCGCAATCACATTTCTTCAATTTCGGATGCTTGCCTGGCCAAGATTTTGAACCTATGGCTTTCGCCAACTAGAACGTACCGCTAACCACTGGACTATTGCGGCTGAAAGCAGAAACTTAGTTCATTTAAAATCGACTATTAAAGCTTTCATTGCAGGCTTCGTTTTTCTTCTCAAATATTGGCCAGTAGTCACTTTGCATACTACATAATTAAATTAAAACTTATGAACAAAATGTAAATGTAAAAAATTTCTCAATTCTAAACTTTAATATTTTATCTTTAAGCAATTGCCTGATCATAAATAAAAATCAATACATTTCATGCTTCAATCATCCTTCATGCAATAAACGTAAGGGCTCCGATTTCGTAATCTTATATTGCACGCCCCACATATATCTGTATATATATGCACGTGAAAGTGCGCTTCTTACCTAATGCGCTGTAACATAAAACTGAAATTGACGAAATGCAATAAATAAGAAGTAGGAAAATCAAATTGTAAGAAGAAACGAGCTACATACATATCAGTGCAGCGGATTGCAACAGACGAAAAAAGTTGATATTTCAAGGACAAATTTGTAAAAGTCACATGCAAAATTTGATTTGGAAATCTGCAAACAACTATCAACTAGAAGAAGAAGAAGAAATGTCCTGTACGGTGTTTGGAGGGAAAAAGTGACGGCCGGAAGTTGACATAAAAGTTAAGGTTGCGGCCATGAAGTCTATGTTTGCTTGTCTGTTATTTTGCTCTTTGCTCTACTACTTATTCGATACACCTACAATCGTGTATAAACACATCCATATTTATATAATATATATAAGTATATGTATACAACTATATGAACGTTTGAAGAGATGAAAGTGAATGCGAGTGTGAGTGTGGGCGTGTGCATGCAGGTGGTCTGTCAAACAAAAAAGTTTTAAAAAATTCTCGGTTTGGTGTGTCGCTTCACTTCACACTCAAGGCTATAGCAGCATGCAAAGTAAATAATTGGAAGCGTGTTGAATGTGCGGCATAGAATGGATACAGTGTTTCAATATTTGAATATTTTTGGTTTTTCATATTGTACATATAGAAAGTTTTTGTCATTGCATATAAAAAGTCTTCTCGTAAACATTGAGCGCCTGAAAGATGATTTAAATTCATTCCACAAGTTCAATGTTTTATGTACATCTGTGTGCAAAAAAAAATTCAGTTGTTACAAGATAATAGAATAAAGTTGACTGCAGCTTTGACAATAGAGCTTAACTAACTTGAATACTTAATTTTTTCTTAAAAAATGCTAGTTGCACTTGTAATAAAATGAATAATTTCTCTAAAATACTCTACAGCAGTAGCGATAGTAAAACCAATTGATCATTTCGATTAAAAATTTTTAATATTTTTATAGACCCATAGAATTTCAAAATAATATTTTGCCTGTAATTTTTCAAATTGTTAGTTTTATCTTATATAATAGCACTATACCTGTAAAAATTGGATTTTCAAAAACTTCATTGAATTTTATAAAAATTAATGTCTTACTTGTTTACTGATTCATTTAACTTTTTTCCTGGAGTATTAAAATTCTACATCAATCGATTCACGCCTATAGTGCACATTGTCTTTCTGCAACCTTGGGAAGGACTGCATTGTTGTCATTAAAATAATTAAAATATGTATATATGTATATATATTTTTTTTTGTCCTCCACCAGGGATTGAATTTTGGTTCCATCAACATCCACAATGCTTTTTACACAGTCGCCCCTCTGCAGGGCTTGTGAAGCTCTTCGACTTTATTACTGGCATGAAAAAAATGCTCTTCATAAAAAACCCAAACCCTCAGCCGAAAATCGCTTCAGCGGTTACATAGCGCCAAATTTTATTATGTATATATATTTTTTTTTATTGTACAATCGCAAGCTGGTTTCAAAAACCGAAATATCAAATATTTATAATCAATTTATGGCTTGGAAATATTTTCATTATTGATAATAATTTAATTTTAATGTAAAACGTAAGGTTATTCATAAATGCTGATGGTAGAATGGATGGACTTAACTGTTTTAACCGATTTTTGAGCACACAGTTGTTGCATACTTTTAGGCTTATCTCACCTCGAGCAACAGTTTAATTATTGTATAACTATGGTTTGTAAAATAAATATTTATGAATAGGAAAAATTATATGTTAAATTTTGGATAGCGCTCAATTTTTATATATTGGAGCACTGTGCTTCCCCAAATACAGTAAGCGAACATTCAAGTGCGGAAGTGTCACAGCGTGACTGGCAATCCAAGAAATGCCAGTCAGGATAACGAAAGTTGAACGTGCCTACGTGCGAAATAATCTCTCTTATCTCATTTAGGTTTTCGAGGCTGCTCAAGCACGTTAACGCGCGTAACTTTGCTGCTTTACAATGTAAGTGAGCGGTGATGAAGAAACAACTGAAACCAAAAACACGACATAAAAAAAAAAATAAAACAAAAATATTTCAACTAAAACGGCGGAGGCTACATATTGAATTGAAGTGTGCGGCGTATGGTTGTGTTGGAGTCGT